TCCCCAGTTTTTCGTCAAACAACTTTTTTCTGTCTTAGAAAAATCAGTTCTACAACATATCAAAAAAAATTTTTTTCCTATGGAGCCTGACGTTAACTAAAAAGACATTAGAGTCAAGTGCTTCCTTAGTTAAGACAAAATATTAATTGGCTTTTTTAACTGGTGTATCTGCTTAATTTTATAAAAATTATGGAAATCTTATAAATATTCATTGGACTGTACTGTAAAATGTCATGATTTTATTGAATGTTGAATGTTGTTAACTGACTTGATTAGGCGTTTTAAAACCAATTGAACAAGTTATGGAAAAACACAGTTGTGGAGGCCCTCAACTGTATTGATCATCTGATTTACTTGCTCGATATCAAAGCATTGTTGCATGGTACTGGGAGAGGAATACAGATAATAATGAAGATTCAAAAACGCAACTCAACTTTAGACATCAAAGATTAAAATGCGTAGAATTAAGCTTACAGTTGATTCAAGCCGGATAACTTTCATACAGAATCACATGTTTTGAAATCTTGCTTAACTTCCATATCAAATCAATGTACGGAGTCAAATCTATTCTTTCTGATAATTCAACACAATGCCATAAATTATTCTCAAAATATTTAAGGCATTCTTTCCACACCATTAGACAAGTTAAATGCAACCTATTCTGGTCTTTAGGAAATTATGTGCCTGCAGCAAGAACTGTGCGAGTCAATAGATTGATTCAAACTTGTATGCATTATAAAATATTTATCAGTACTTTATAAAAATACAATTTTTCAAATCATCTTTTACATTCCTTATAAAGGCTATTATAAATCTTATCTTTCAAACATTACAAAAAAATATTCAAGAACAAAATGTGTGTAATCGGGTACAGCAGAGCCATTTCTATCAACCAATTCGTAACCAAGAGAACTTTAAAATTGCAGTCTTATGAGAGAAAGTCGAAATCTTAAATTATTTTATTAGGTCAGAAACAATCCAATAAATGTCTACTGACTTCAGATTTATAAAAAAGACACTGGTCTAAAAAAGATGCTTAGTAGTTTGTTCTTTTTGACTTCTGTATAACTACGGCCAGCATACAACAGAATGCCTACACTGTTCAAGTTGAAATAGCCAAAGATACTACAGTTACCAATTACAGATTATTTAGTTCGGGCATTTCATGAATTCATAAACGTTCTTTCTCAAGTTCTCATACGGATGGCTTCAGACTAGGGCCTCAGGCACCCGTTAACACAACTCGGTTAACTGACCTTCGGTTGTTTCAAAGTTTAGATTACCAACATACACCTTTCTGTAGACGAAAAATATTTTAACAAGTAATAACTGTGTTTGGCTTCTGCAATTTAACATATCCTCACAGAAATGTTTCCATCGCAAGAACTTGGATGAGTAGCACTTTAGGTTAAAACAAATATTTCTGCCTAGTTTAGCAGCACAAACTTTTACAAATGAGCAACTATTTAATATACACTATTGTCAAAAGTAACAGTAAAAGTAGTTATTTATATAAAATAAAATATGTGCTGCCTGCTAGCACACAGTTATTTCACACAAGAAGTATTTATACTTAAGTTATAAGTAAGCCATAACATTCGATAATATTTTAAAATGAGCACGACGTAACCTTCCAACGATACAGAAAGAAGTTACAATTCATTGGAACATTGGTGATACGATCATCTTTTGGACTGAAATTAAGAGCATCGCCTTAATTTAATTTAATTTTTTTTAACTGGTGCTATTGTGTTAAGAGAATATATATTCACGACGAAGTGCAAGAATACTGAAACACAGCGAATAGTGGTACAATTACACGCATCTAGTTCCCACTTAAACGTTAGTTCAAACCTGGTCAAACATGGCCAGTGTCGGGTCTTAACTAGTCAGATTGCTCTGCACCTCGAATAACCCTCGAATGAGAGTCAGGCGGAATAAGTGACATGTATCTGTCACGTCGGTACTGGTGCTGTACTACGGCTTCCGCGGCACCACATGGGGCAAGCTAAAATTTATAATTTGAACTGGGACAAAAGAAAAATTTAATCTTTTTAATTAAATTAAGCTTACTACTAGGGCAACACTTAAACTAAATCTAGACAAGTCTAGGCTGTACTTAAAAATAGGCTTAAACCAGGCAATGCCATCAATATTTCAGCCGCTACCAGTTCAGCAACAATGTAAATCCCTGAAAATCAGGAAATTAAACAATTCTTTATGTCTTATTAATTTACAAACTATGCTTACCTTATAAATCAATATGGTTATTTTTATACCAGTTAGATTTTTAGGTTTGTGAAACTTGTGATTACACTCGTTTCTCACAATTAAATGTTGTGTTGGTTTCACATGTTGATTTGAACAGATTTTGGCATAAAGAAATACATATTTGCCTCTCCCACAAAGTCCATACTCATAATTATTATTATAATCCGCTATTAAGAAGGTTATATTAATAGTCCTTCATGAATCAAATGGACTGAAAAAATATACAAAATGCATTCCATAGCCTACATCGCGAGGGCAATTCTTTTGTTTCTCGTGCATGTGGCAACAACGGAGTCGCACTAGGATCCAGCAGTGCAGTGGTATCAATGATCATAAATTAAATTACAAGATCATGTCAATTCACCTAGGAGTAGCCTATACACAGATATGGAAAGTTAAACTAGGCTAAGTTTATATTTTTTAAATTAATAAAGGGTCCTTGACCATGTCTTTGCTGTTATATATATATAACAAAATCGATCAAATCAGTGTACCTGAAGTGCTAGGCCGTGAGCTACCGCGTGGTTAGAAAATAACATCGTGCACAGTGTGCAGAGCATGCATGATGACGATGTTCTTTCGGTAAGCAACGCAATTATCTACAATTTGCATTGTTTGTATGTGTGTGGTATTCGGTAATGATCAATAAAACATTTCTAAATCTTACCCTTCATCAGCTTCAGACATGATGTCTTCTGTCTTCTTAACCTGTTTGAGCTAAATGATACAGAAAATGACTTTATGCCACTGATTAATCGTACGGTACTACGGAGCTGAACCCAAACCAAGAAAAGAATGCAAACCGGCGCGAATCAGTTTTAATTCAAGGGTACGAAGATAGGTAGTGCGAAAACGCGAATATGTTATTAAAAAGCTATTTCTATACTATTGTCTATAGTACTATTGGGGGTATGTTGGCGTAATCTGACAAGCTGACATGCGCAAACCATTCAAAGCCCACCGGCGGAGAACACAAGCACGTGACCACAATTACGCTACTAATACCCGAACAAAATAGTTCAAAAGATGACATTCCAAATCATTGTTTTTACAAAATATTTCAGAAACAACTATTATAGTTAAAACATTTATTCATATACATTTTTTTTTTATTTGATTTCATATAAAGCAAAAAGAAACTATATCTAATGCGGATGAATATTTAATTCAGTTACACCCCGCAGAGTGAAAAAAGGAACGCTGTCCGGTACCGGAATCCAAGAGTCTAGACATATCATTAGGGATCAGGTAGCGAATTTTGACCAATCATGTTCGAGCGATGTATGTGACGTAATGACAAAAAGTCCCGCTTTCAAGATCAATGTGTCCATCCCGCTTTTGAACGTTCGGGGATTGGAATGCCTGATAGGGAGGCCTGTTAAATAAATACTATTTTCCTATACAGTATCTATAAACGCCCAGGCTTTATCTTTTATCAAACATTCAAAATACTATCGTAATTTAAAGTGAACTTTCTAAAAACCCACAATACATAGCATATATAATTTGACTTTATTTCTGTTAACATGCCATCTGCTTGCGGTACTTACAACGCGGTGGGTTTGTATTTTAAATTATATTTAAATTCAACGTTTAAGATATCTATCTAGCCTAGGCCTAGTTACATTAATATCATTATAGAATATTGTATATTAACTCTAAAATATAACACAAATCCAATTTTATATAGGTCTAGGTCTAACTTACAGTATGTAGGCCTAGGAGACGGAACGATGTAGCCTAAGTCCCATGCATAGCTAGGCTAGGCCAACTAAGTACTACTAGACTAGCCTGGTTCGCCCTGCCCTAGACAGGTAGGTAGGCCTAGGAAGGAGACTACAAAGGCCCAAACTCTACTACTATTCGCCTGGCCTAGGCCTAGCACTGTACTAAAATCTTAAAGAAAGACTCCTATGTATGTACAGTACTACTCAAGGCCTAGCTCTAGTAGAGTAGACTAACTAGAGTTATTAAAAATCATTGCCTTCTTGGGCCAAAGGTTTAGGGAATCAAACAAAAATATTTAGATGCAAGAATGGACGGGGAAAAAACATGCTATGCCGTAAAGTCTTAATACCTGTAAAATTAATGGCAGTGCCTATTTTTACACCAGTCTTAAACTAAATTCATATTGGATGACATTGTCCTAATATATCTAATCCATTATTCAATAGTTACATAGGCCTAGACACAGTAATCAGAATTATTATTATTGTTGTTATTTTTACCATGTTAACTTACAAATTTAACCTTGACCTTTATTTTTAACATTTTATGATATGATATTGTGTTTGGTGTTTTAATAATATGTAATTTTGTCAATTGTAGTATTTTTATTCTCTGAACAAACAACTAGAATTTCAAAAACTGTTTCACCAATGGTTTGACAATTAAGATTGAATTATGAATTGATGAATTGACTAGTAAGGCAATATCCACTGCCAAAGTAAATAAAGAAGTAAACATTTTATGTTATACTGTACTGTATATTGACTGTATAGGGTGCCATATGCAGCAAAAGTCCATGTTAAAATCAAAATGTAATTGCAAAATTCAATGTCTAATTTATCAAAACGTAGGCATAAATTTCTCAAAGTGTAGATCAAGTTTCCCAAAATGAAGTTCTAATTTTTCAAAACGTAGTTCAAATTTCTTTAAAATGTAATTCAAATTCAAAACGTAGGTCTGACTTGATCAAACGCCCTCTCCATTCTGTTCCAAATCGTAAATCAAAACAAGCCAAGCATGACTGGTTTGAAATACATTTTACAACACCAGACATACAAAATGTTAATAAAAACTAGTCAGCCAAGCATGACGTGGCCCTGTTCCATTAATGTGGGGGAATCATTTTTCGCTGCAGTCCAATGCCGTGAAGAACGCTTCCCGGTGCGTCTGCTAATTTTTAATGGTCAGGGTACCGCGATCACGAGCCCTATGCTGGGCATTATAGGCTAAGCTTATGTGGGCTGGGATTTGCAACAACTTAGTCTTGGACTAGGCCTCTATTAGTAGGAGGCCTGGTCATAGTCTAGGCCTATAATAGTAAAATTGCCCAGTGTCTTTAGGCAGCAGGGGGATTAGTCCTTGGACCCAACCAGGGCTTCGCCACTGGCCTAACGCCAAAAATTGTCATACCCGTTGTCGGACCATTTAGCACTGCCGCTGATCCTGAATATGTGGCAGAGCCAAGCCAAAGGAGGGATAAGTCGAAATTGTCAAAAAAACTAGACATTATTACCTTCAAAATGAAAAAAATAATCACTTTGATATGATAGTTTATGGCAAAGTTATGGGCAATCAAAGTTAGGATACTTGGTAAGTGTATTTTGAGAAAACTGGCTTTGAAAATCAGATTTTATGTCTGTACGCTAGGACAAGCTCTCTTAAATACCATTTTTAGAGCATTTATCGTTTATAAATCAGAGAAAGGTATATGTAGGATGACAGTTAAATCTTTAATATGTATGTTTTAAAGATAAAAAAAATCGAAAAAAATGACCTATTTCACATTTGTGCATTTATTGGAAAACTCCCTGTGCGACTTACCTTCCTTTGGCTTGACTCTGCCAAATTACTGGCTATAGACTTTTATAAATGAAGATGCCTATGGTATGGCCAATATATAAGACATACAGTATTTGATCCTAATGGCATGTCTTAATTTTCTTTTCAAATTTTTTTTTTAGTGTGAAAGATTAATATTTGAGGTAATGTCTACTTGATGTTGGCTCAACAAGTTTATAAGATGACTTTCCTCAGGACCAAACCAGTTTTTGTAAAATTGCAGGCTGCGCAATTCACAAATTGCAGATCACAAAAACATATAAACAATGTCAACAATCATTTACCCTTAAAATCATTGTTTATGTTCAAATTCAACCCAGAGCACAGAGAGAATTTATGGGAAAGATGTTTTGTTCAGTTTTCTGGTCTTGCTTCCTGCAATTATCAGAAGGTACCATCCGTACTCAAGGAGCAAAATCAATGGACCAATTCACCAAGAGGATTTTACATGCACTCCCCAAAGTATGCAACAATAATGTATGATTTATTAAAACCACCTACAAATGATGAAGATATCGCCAAATTATTTCATCTTCGTTTGCATGCCTCGAAGGATGACTTTTTAAAATCTGTCAAGGAATTGAATTGTTTACCAACGTCAATTGTACAAGACATATTTAACCGCAATCTTAGATTCATTACACAAGGGATAGCTAGCATCAGGATACTTAATGAGGAAGTACTTAGAGAGTATTTACGACTTTTTGCCAAAATTGACATCACTTGTGTTCAGCAGGAAATGAGAACATTTGAACAAAAATGTGTTGATCAGATGGAGACATGGCCAGTTGATATGGTTCTCCTTGTGTCTGATGCATTTCATCTCATCAATTATCGTTCGTTGTCTTACAACAAGAAGATGTATGAATATATGAGAAAACATGTACCTTCATTAAATAAACACAATATAGTGCAGTTGGCATACTTGATAGGAGAGAATAGGATAGTCCCATCTGCTTTAATGCATCAACTGCAAAAACGAATCCTTAATTTTAAGAATGAATTCACTGTACCCGAAATAGGTGCTATTTTTAATGGTTTCTTCAAATCTAAAACTTCCATTACCTCAGACATTTTATCAATTTTTGCAAAACGCCTAATGCTTGAAGACACGCGTGAAATCAATACCTATAGTCTTGTTGGTATCTTGAAGATGTATCGTTATGCTTATTTCGGTTCAGAGATGTTATTCAATAAAATTGCTAATGAAATTGTTGAGAGGATTCCTACCATGGAAATAGCACCAGTAACGCATATAGCTTTAACGTATTCAACACTACGTATGTTCCACGCGCCATTAATGGATATGATTGCACAAGTGTATGTTAGTAAGGTAAAATATGGCCGCTGTAAAGATGTGACCAAGTGTCTATGGTCAGTAAGTACTTTAGCCCACCGGCCTCCAAACTTTAACCAGTTTTACAAGACAGCTCTTCATGAGATGAGGAGACGTTCGGTGGAGTATTCTGAACATCCGAATCATCTAACGTCTGGCTTAATTGCTTTAGCATACATGGATATCTATCCATTAGATATTATAGATTATGTATTCAGCCCCACATTCCTGGATTTTGTAAAAAGTAAGTTATGAAAATCCAATACAAATTCCATGTAACAATATAATAATTACAATAAATACTAATATTTCAACAGTATTCTTTGTTTACACCAAACAAAGAAAGCATGCTGGTTTTACTTAAATACAATTGTTCAAATAAACTGAAAACTGATAAAATTTAATCAGAATACTAATAATAATGTTACTAATAATACTAGTAATAGTTCAAATTTTATTTAATATAGAGTACTACAGTGTTACGTCACGATACCACGTGATACTACTCCATTGCTATCATTGCAAAAAAGTATTCAAATGGATTCTTCACTGACAAACCATTGATCCCAATTTCAAACGTAATTATTAAGATGTTGTATCTTACTTTTTCTTTGTGAATTTTAATTGATGATTAAATGTGTGTTCGATAACTAATATAATGAGAGCATTTGTGTTATTAGTACATTTTGATAGTAAAATATTAGATTTAAAAATTGCCTATTCCAGAAAGCCTATGAAGTCATTCATGCATAATGAACGGTAACCTACGTCTGTTGACAACAGAGAGCGCCGCCTGGCGTCGTGACGATACAACTGTAGTACTCTATAACGGAAGTAAACTTAAAAACGGATTTAAAATCTACTCTCAGTAATGTACTTCATGATGATTATGATGATTTGATTGAAACAGTGGCATATCACCATGGTGAATTCTGTTAAAAGAAATACATTTTAAAAAGCTAAAACTAAATTTAGCAGTCAAAAATGCATATTATAGGTATAAATGCAATTTTTTATGAAAAATTATTTCCAACAGACTATAGGCTAAACAGTAAGATAGATTTAAGACCAGATCTTCATCTTCTAGACTGTACGTTAGCGATTGATCGTCCCTTATATTGCGGCAATAGATTTCCACAGGTACTTATTATTTAAAATTTATTAAAATATCTTACCTAGTGTATTATAAATAATTTTAAATTTTAGATTCTTTAAGAATATAAAAGTACAATACACTAATAAAAAGTATAGAGCTGAGTTACAAATTTAGCACAAATTTACTGGATCTGATAAATTTACTCCAAATCGGGTTCGTGCATCACATTACAGTGGTAACACTGAGATACTGTACTTGGTTGGTGTGTCAGCCTCTTCAATATGTGACTCTATTTGATATCTACAGTATTTGAAGGTGACGCGTGTTTCTTTTTTTCAGGAACTATTAAAAGAAGGCAATCTTCCTGATGACTTTTACCCAAATGTTGATCATGAACTGAGCAAAAGAAAATTTCTGAAACCAGTAATTTCTTGTCTTTCCGACATACTTGGAGACGCACAGTTGATTAAGCCACACTTTATTCTTCAACATATGAAAGCTCTTGGTAAGTAAATAAAGTGGTATCGCCAGGGGGAGGGGTTGATCACATTCAGCCTGATAGAGCTTGCAGAATAATCTTAATGAAACTTGTACATTAGATGATGGCTCTGTTATTCCGCTCACCGTAAGAAGGCACAAGTTGTGCAGGGGGATACTTCACCAAGGTTAAACATCCAGGGGATGTACAGTACAAGTTCATAATTTGCTACCTAATAAAAGCAACTATCATCAACTATAACCTTAGAGTTCCTAGAGGATGTTCAAGTTGCCCAAAGTCAGAACTAAGCGTTCTTGTGACTTCATTTTATATCATGGGTTATTTTCCAAGTGGTGAAGTCCCCTCCGCAAGTTCCCCCACCCCCAAAAAAAACAAAAAACAAAAAAAACCCCTGTAGGTTTTATTTAGTATTCAGTATTTTGTTTATTTGTATGTGTCCCTTCAGGGCTCGTTTTAACATTCTTTGGCAACTAGCCCACTGGGCTACAGTAGTATTGTATATTTCACTTGCCCATTGGCTATATTTACTAGCCCAATTGTTGGCTACATTTTCTGTAACATTATGATGTTGGCCAAGCATACTTGTAGCAATAGTTTATAACTATCACTATCACTGGGCCATCGGACTAGTAATACGGTGGGTTTACTAGCCCAGAGTAGTTTTTACTAGACATTGTACGACAGACTAGTACTAAATCAAGCCCTGCCCTTATTTATGTACCCCTTTTTTGTAGTGTCATGATTGTTAATTTGCATTTTTTCTCTAATGTTTTTAAATGTTTTTTGTACATTTTACTTTTTTTTTTTTAATGTGTCCTGCTTTACTGACAAAGTGTATTTTAAATATTCTAAACATTTTTTATATTTTTACTTACAATTTTTCTGTACATTTAAAATTTTCCTTAAATTTGCAAATAAAGTTATTTTGAATTAAGGAAGGGGGGATTAATTTCCACTTTTGATATACATGCTAAAATGTTTCATAACAGCTCAAAATGACCAAAAATTGCTCAGCTTTTTTTAGGCATGGAGGTCACTATAATACCTCCATGAGTCACCTAAGGTCTAAGTCTGCTTGTCACTTGTGTTTGTCCATTATCATTGCATTGTACGCCCTAAGGTTCTTGTTTGATACAATAGTATTTGTCACACCACTACTATTTGTGTTGTCCTCACTCCCATTGTAAGCTGTTACTTGTGCTACACCATTGTTCCAGAGTTAACAGTGAAATTGTTCTAAAGTTGTTTTGTATTGGCAATAATTTGTTTTAGTGATAATGTACCATAATTACAAGTTGGTCAACCTTTGTTTTTACACAGACCCTATATACTTTTTTGACAATTGCCATCATTAGAGACCATTTCTTCTTTGGTTTTTATGTAGATTACTGTTGAACCAGCAGCAGTCATGGCACAAGAAATGTAAAAGCAATAATAATAAAGGAAATATTAGAAACTGCCCTTGTTACCAGCTATAGAATTTGGAATGCTATGTTAAACCTACATGGAAAAATATTTCAGCAATGCAAATTTTATATAGCCGAATATCCACATGTAAAAAAAAAATCAGAATTGGCTAAAATTTGTAATTGTTTTTGTTATAATTTGTAATAATTTGTTTGTTGCCTTCTTGCATTGGTCTGTATTTACAGGTCATGACCTGGATTTTTTGTGCTTTCTTTTTATTTGAGGCGAGACTTTTTTATACCTTTGTTTTCATCAAAGGAGGGCAGTAAAAAATAACAATTAAATTTTGTTTATCATTTAGCAAAATGATTTTGCCAAAACCATCTATGCAAAGGAGAAAATAAAAATGAAACTTTATTAATGAATTAAACAGTGTAGTAATAAAATTTATAAATGCTTTAAATTTATAGGCCTATAATTAACGAAGAAATTTTATTTTTGGAGATTTGAGTAGAGTGGAGGGCATTATAAAAATAAATAAGTAAAATTTTATATTTTTATTGATGGAGGGTGCGCTAACTCGCCAAAATAAAAATTTTTATTTTAAAAATATTTTTGGAGGGTTTGCTAAACAAGGTATTAAACAAAGTCTTACTTAAACTTGAATAAAACTATGATTAAAAAAATTGAAAATGTATCTATGTTTACAGAAAATTCCAAAAGCTTCTCAAATTCCCTAATTTGCCAAAGATTTCCACCTACTGAACCTCCAATTAGATTTTCTCCCTCAACCTTACCTGTATTATACATTGAGTTGTAAGCCTATCAATGATCATATCAGTAAAAAATATTTTTTCTCAACAGATATTGAGTTTCGATTATCTGAATCAGGAGAGCCCATTACTGTTTCAAAGTGGAATTGTCAACATAAAGAGAAAAAGAAAACTTTAAACACAGCAAGTATTTTGGTCCAGAAAATTATGCAAGGGTGCCCTCTGGAAGAAGCCTCTATCAAACAGGATCACAGGTTAGAGTGCCAGTGAGCAAAGTGTGGCCTGTGCGTCGTATGTGGCTCGACGGCAATTTTTGTTTGTGGCCCTTGAATGTAATTTTAAAACTATTTGTGCTTCCCACCTACCAAACTGCTAAAAAAAAAACCTTGTTATTATGACCCGACCCGTCAACCATTAGTGAAAGAAATAATACGTTGCTTATACAATAATAATACAATGTAAGTTAAAATACCTTTGTCTGACAATCAGTGGCGGCTCTAGGGGGGGGGGGGCTGAGCTGTCTGACAGCGGGGACTTGAGGTCGTAGGCCCCAGCTGGGGGAAGGGTTGAAGAGGGGGTTCCCCTCCCAAATGAGATTATTTTAAGAACAGGATGGACAGAAATGACACTTCTCAGACTGTTTTTTAAAGGTACATTGGAAATATCACAATAAAAATTTTGGTTTTGCATGCGACCGGCTCCCAGTGTTCATACTAAAATTCACATTCGAGCAGCTGTGAATACTGTCCTGGTGGCCTTGCACCTTAAACTGCCGGGAAAAGGTGCGGTCATGTTTGGTTCATCTGCGTTGTTTTATTTTATTTTCTCACTTTCCGGTTTTCTTCAATTAAATGTATTTCATCGCTACAGTATATAATAGTAAACAAAATTTAAAAAAAAGCAAAGTGCTCTGATCTTCATGATATAGCGTTACATAAATGTTGTAATGTATTGGCTCTCTGACCTATTGTTATGCCCACCCCTAGGAAGATACCAAGTGTAACTAGGTATTATTTCATGACAAAGGAGAATAAAAGGAGCATAGTAAGGAGAGAAGATGAATGGATACACTGGTCCATAAATTTATTCTTAGTCATTGAAAATGCGTAAAAATAAATTGATTTTGGCACCAATGTCGTTCCATATCACTTTTTGCATGGCGTTCCATACTATACTTTTTCTTGGTTTTCAAATTCAACAACGTAAGTTTCTCGACACAAACAGACTCTGGTGGCACTCTCCGAAATTATCTAATACTAGAAAATGTCAATAAAGTTAGAGACTTGTGGAGGTCTAATAAGTGTATTAATAGTGTGTGCAGTGGAAGGGAAACATGTTATATGTAATTAGTGATATCTTGAATGATAGATTTAGAATGATAATAATTCTGTATGGGGAGAAAAGGAAATAGTAAGCAGAAAGGATCATAATAGTGGATAAAGGGCCGCAAAAAGAGGTTTCTAATTAAACACCAACCTCTCTGTATCTTTAATAAGGGGTTATTTAGTGATGTTCTTTTTGGTTTTTTTTAATTTTTTTAAGCATTGCTATAGTACTGTGGTCCAGAAATCATTATCAATTTGGAGCGAAGCAACATATCACATCACGTCACCTTCTTGGGCTCCATGCAATGAAAAGGAGGCATTTATTGTTGTTGGGATACAAAATTGTTGAGGTAAATATATTTTCAAATTTATGATGATAGATAATATTATTTTGAGCAAAGTACAATAAGTTATACAACTATTGTATGTTTGAAAAATATCACTCATTTAGGTTTTTCCATTTTGTTTCATTTCAGCTTCCATTTTATGAACTTGAAGTTGTGTCTGAAAAAGGAAATACAGCCCTCACTCAGTACCTGAAGCAAAAACTTGTGCAACTACCGCAGATGAGAACCCTATTGCAGGGCACATCTTAAGGGTGGTATTGTTTGTGATGGATCCGTGCAGATCTCAAGGTCCCTAGTTCAATTCTCGTCGCTGCTCTCCTTGTCTTTCAGCAGGAGGGCTGAAATACAAGTTATGATAGCGTACCATCTTTCAGATGAGACGTTTAAGCCGTTGGACTTGTGTGCAATATGGCCCATGTGCATGTTGAAGAACACAGTACACTCTTCAGAAAAGAGTAGGGGATTGTCTCCCGGGGTACTGCCCAATTGACCACCAGAAGGGCCCAACTGGAAACCAGTCTTTGGGTGGGTTATCCTTGGTGTGATTTATACCAAAAAATATCCTATCCTAACATTATTTGCACAGACGAGACAATGAGGAGACATGCTGCATCACAACCAATCACCGTTTCAATAGCTCAGGATGGTTAGACACTCAAGGATGAATTTGGGCTCACCGAATTCGTAATGGGACCAAGTGGGATACCCACTTTAAAGCTCCAGTTTTCAGGCTGGGGTCTATTTTTTTTATTGCTCAAACTGTTTTGGACTGTGGTTCGGGGTTGAGAACCAGGACTATAAATCATACAACTTGACCACATGTTCCTAATCTGTAGATTTATTCATTAGCAAAGAACCTTAACACAGAGACAAACATGATAAATTGTTGCAATAAAATTCTCTGTATTGAATGTCTTTTCTTAGTCTCTGAACATATTCTTTAAACAGAAATTGCGTACAAGAGGAGCACTAGAACCTAGAATCTCATTGTCATATCTATGGCTTCATTTTGATAGACTATGGAACCAAATTTTACATCTTGTTCTTTAAATAATTTGGATGTTTGGTGTTCAAATATTTTAGAGGCCAAATAACCAAAAAAAAAAACCTACTTTTTAGTCCAAAAATATCATTTTTATTTTCCAAGAAATAAATCTTTTGTTTGAAACTTCCAGCACTATATTTACTATTGTAAATGTGCATCAATTCTTTGGTTAATTTAATATACTTTTTTAAAAATTAAAGCCCCATTCCCGGCGAAATTTCAGTTAAGAAAAATCTGAATTTTTTTTATATATGTTATTAAATACAATACAAAATTGCTAGTTTAACTGAATTTAGAGATTCCTAAACATGAAAAAAAATGTAAAAAAGGGATTGAAATTTGATTTTAAAACATAAATGCGGATGAATTTTTTATGTTTGATTTTGCGATAGGTCTGCCAAGAAATATAGTAGGCGCTGGAAACATTAGCCTATCCAACATTGCTAGGCTAGGCCTAGCCTTACCTCGATTTAGGTTCTGTTATCACACATTGAAACGGCCAACATGATATTTTCCATTGCTAGTTTTGACACTTGTGAGATATAATACTTCATAGGAATTATTTCAAATTTGTTGAAAAAATAATTCTAACCGAGATTTTGACAAATAGCCATATCTGAGGCCTACTCAATCAATCGCAATGTGTGAGATGCAAAGTCTAAAAACTAATCTCATTAGAGAGGGCGCAAATACACAACAGCGAGAGCATTCCAGCGAATACGATCTACAACCTCTGAATTTACCTAGTAACAAAGAATTCGTTTAGTGAAATTTTGCCGGGAATGGGGCTTTAATTATAATTTATACAATATACTCTTTATGGTTTTAGAGCCTTAAATAATTTTATTACTATTTATTTTATGTTAAGTTCAACTAAAATGGACGTAATTACATAATACTGAAACAAAATATTGTAAGTTCATAACAAAACCACTTATCAATAAAAACAGCTGTAAAATTGTGGCAAATTGCATGCCAGTCTATTTCCAAATACTTTGAATTAAAGCTTTGACCCTAAAATCTGGAAAACATGAAAATTCAAATTTAAAAAGGTTTTAAAGTTGTCACCTTCCAAAAAAACAGATCAAAACATAGGTTTCACTGATTTCTTGTAGCAGAAATATACTATGAAATCGATTACCATACAGCCAAAATCAGGCTCTATGAAAAGAATATAGAAATTGTTATTAAATTTTAACATCGGTTGTTATCGTAACCTATCTTTTCAGCCATTTAAATCCAAATGAAATCCAAATAAATTCACTTCTGATGTAATTTAACACACTCAAGATATTCGTTTACGTCGTCTGTGGAGCCCATTATTACAGGACACCTTTCGTGGATGTTTGTTGGTACCAAGTCAAGAATCATCTCTTTACCTGTTGTAGCTAGGCCCCCTGCCTGCGTCACCAGGTATGCCATTGGATTACACTCGTACATCAAGCGAAGCTGGATGAAAAAAAAAAACCAAACATTAATGTCACTAAATTATTTTCAACCTTAGATTGTTGAGTATTATACAACCGACATAGGAAAACAAATTAATAAAGAAATCTTGGGTCATTCTTCAGTACAGTGCTCAAACAATGTCCCGCCATTTTAAGGTACTTTATAACGAAAAGTATTAAAGGAAAATTGATTTTTATTGTAGTAAAATAATCTTCAACACATTTCTGATTGAATGTAGTGTCAAAAAATTTTGAAAACCCCGATTTAATTTCTCCAAATGCCATAATTCATAAAGTAACTAACTTGAAAGAATAATTATACCACCAGAAGACAAGTATAGCCTGGTTCTCACGAGAGCCCTAGTATCCAGATTTGGAGCTAACCGTTAGCGCTAACCGTTAGCACCTGTGTGAGAACGCCCGATCGGTTAGCGCTAATCGTTAGCACCTGTGTGAGAACGCCCGATCGGTTAGCGCTAACCGTTAGCGGTATCCGGATACCGCGAACGGTTAGCAAGCGCTATCTGTTAGCAAGTGAATGCGTTTCTATCATCAACTAATTACATACACGTTTACAATTTCCAGTTTCTTATTGGCCAGTGATTTCATCATCATATTCTTGGTATCCGGATCGGGATTTTCTTGTATGGACGCACAGCAGCTAACGGTTAGCAGGATCCAGATCCTGCTAACCGTTAGCTGCCGTGTGAGAACATAGCCTTGGTCTGGTCTCTTTTAAATGTAAAATTAAAAGTTTTGTACATATATACAAAACGAGATCAATACTCCACTTGCATAAATCTATACGCTGTACAGTACAATAAATTTGCTTCGAAAACAAATTGTGTATAAAAGAGTAAAATTCCATTCTACTATTAATTCAGATTAAATATATAGAAACTTATTTGACAATATAAATTGTTTTACAAAAAACAGTGGTATGGTAAAAATATGTCTTGTGATGTCTCTCTCAAACCTTAGATTTTTTTTATCCCTATATTGAGCCTGAAAATATTGAACAGAACTGGTCAGTTTTCAGGGCCAAAGCCCGCAGTAGCAAAGCCCTGGTGGAGGTCTAGGGTGGCCTGTCACCTACAGACAATTTTGAGCCAATTAAAATTTAAGGGGTGAATATTATATTTTGAGTAAATTTATAACATGTGAGACGACAATCTTAATAAAGCCACAATTCTACTTGATAGCTGAAATAGTGTAATTTCTAACAAACATACCTTGCCCTTAGGACTCTTGGAGTGAGCTGGGTAGAGGAATATACCTCCATACTTAATAGTTCTATGCATATCTGCTACCATGGAACCAATATAACGAGCACCGTATGGTGCTTTCCCCTCCTATATTAAAATATGATGGATAAAATAAATCACAGTAATAGTCATTGGCAGTATTTCACTTCAACATATTTAGGCACATTTCTGAAGTTTTTGATAAAGTGAGATATAAAATTGTATTGGTCATTGTTTCATAAGCCAACCTTCCAAATTTCAGTTTCAGGAACCTACAGTACTCGGGCAAGTACCGTAACAGTAAGTTTAATTTGATTTGAATCCACTTAGTATTAAAAAAAATGCCCTCATTCAATTCTTTTCTATTTGAGCTGCATTATTGGACTTGCCAGGGTTTTCTTTTTTATTTGGGAAAAAAAAATAAGTAGGGATTTTAAGAAGCAAAATAAGGATGTTCATGACTGATAAGTATGCTAATCACTTTAGCATGAAGTGAACTAGTGAAATTTTTTCTTAGAATAAAAATTGTATAGTCAAACATTTTGCTTAAGCTTACCTCTGGGTATTTCTTTCTGTTTATGTACTCCTTCATGGCGTTGTCCCAGTATTGAGCATAACCTTCGTTGATGCTGAAGATTTTGCCTCTTGGCTTGATCCTCATGTTAGCATCAGTCAAAACAAACTCTCCAATAGACTAAATAAAACAATAAAATGCAGTTAATAAATAATTCATAATATAATTACTGTAAATACCAAGTGATATAATCTCTAGCAAATTGATGTTTGGTGCTCTGTCCACACTATCAAATTATCTTTGACAATAAACTGTTGTATGCCCATATATAGTCATGATGTGATGTCATCATGACCATATTAAGGCATGTCACATGTTTGTAAACATGTATCTTCATGCTGTGAATCAACGATCCGATCAGCCCACTGGGCGGGTTTCTTTAGGGACGGACTGTGGTGTTGTCCATTTTCAACCGCAGTTAGCGAGCTGTTTATTTTTAGCGACAGTAACAAGTTTAAAAAATGGGCTTCGCATTTTCAACTTTACGGCGATCCCAATGTCTGATCTAATCAATTGGAAGAGTTTGATGTCTGCTGAATTTGGAGCCAATTCTTTTATATTTTGTGAGCATTTGGTTTTTATGCAGTTAAAATAAATGATGCGACAAAAAAAAAAAAAAATTATACCCGCATCAATGGTTTCCAAAATTTTTGACGCGGGCAGGAGTGACAATCTAATCATTTTTTCTATTTGCCTTAAGTGGCAGGAATATTAACTTCTACTCAAAGTAATCAGATCCGTAACAAGGATTTTTGGGGGTTTTTATTCATGGGAGCCAGATTTCCAGGAGGGGCTAGGCACCTTGCTTGTGAGTTCCATGGAAAGAGCTCTTGTCAGTGTCAGGAGCAGAGGGGAAAGCACTCTGGAGCTGAAGTATTCTAGAATGTAAATTTTGAATTTCATTTTAATGTTTTATGAAAGAAGGGGTGGTTTGGTTTAAATAGAGCTGTCTCTTATACACATCTAGATGTGTATAAGAGACAGATGCATATCTGCTACCATGGAACCAATATAACGAGCACCGTATGGTGCTTTCCCCTCCTATATTAAAATATGATGGATAAAATAAATCACAGTAATAGTCATTGGCAGTATTTCACTTCAACATATTTAGGCACATTTCTGAAGTTTTTTCATAAAGTGAGATATAAAATTGTATTGGTCATTGTTTCATAAGCCAAACTTCCAAAACAGTAAGTTTAACTTGAATTCACTTAGTATTAAAAAAAATGATTTTTAGTTTGATGACCTCAAGTGGCATCTGACTAAACCTCCTCAGCGGTGGTGCCAGAAACTTGCTGACAAGGGGTCTGAAAAGTCCAACAGAGGGGTCTGAACCGAGGTTCTGCCTAGGGCCTCTGTCGACAGCCCCGGAATAAAAGAAACCCGGTATTGTCCACAAGAAGAGTTTTTATGCCTTAGTTTGGTCCAAATTGTGCTTTTGAGACCACTGCAACCAAAATAAAGTTATTTGGAGAGGCAAATTAGGATTTTTAAAATTGTTGATCCGACAGCCAGTCATGGCGTCAGATGACAGGGCTCCAAGCCTGACAAACAGGGAAAATTCTCCTCCCCCCCCCCCTGGCGCCGCCACTGCTATACCGGCTAAGAAGAGGTGCAAACAGGAGGTGAGAAATATTACAAAAGCACCATAGCCTACTCTTACTCTATAATTACAATTTTTCCCATGATATTGTTACTTCCGACCCTTAGGCTTCAGATTCTTTGAAGTTGAACATCAAACTCACAGCTTAGCAATACCCGCTTTTCTGACCGCCGATGACACAGCTTTCACAGCAGTGCAGATGGCAGTAAGGACCTGTGTTAATTCACCGGTTGCACCAACGTGCCTACGCTGTTCTTCCAACATAAAACGAGTTAAGGTCATAAAATCTGTCCTCATTGCATCCCCTTCCATTGTCTATCCTCCCTTTTCTCTGTCTTCTATCCAATATAAATTAATGTTAACGGAATGTTTAATTAAGATGAATTAGTAATCTCTGAATATTATTTGAAATCAATCAGGCCTTGCAGAAAATTGTTGATGCGTGGCAAGCTTGCGTTGCGGGAGGATGGGTCGATGTTGTCAGCCAATCAGATGGCTAAAAACGGGAGGCGTGGCAACACGTGTTTATTATCAGTAGAAGTTCTTGCAATATAGCTTTATTTATCCTTGTTAATGAACATTTTAATGTTTATTATAATTTTTACATTTTTAGATTTCATGATCCTTTGAGTACCACAGCTCGTAATTAATACAGAAATCCATTTGTTCCTAAATTATCGTATTATTGTTCAGTTCTATATATTGCTGACGATAAAAGATGCATAAATAATTTCGATGGATTAGTCTGTCAAGCAGATTATTTAATTTATTTGTATTTATTCTATCGTACTGAATGCCACTCAGTGTTGAAGCACTGATTTCCAATGTGGTCCAATATTAATGCTATTAAAACAATGAAAACAAAATAAAAGCAAATATTTGACAAATAATATAAAAAATACATGGAAATACATGAAAGGCAAGAAGAAAATATATAAATGTAACAAAAGAAGAATCTTAAAAAGATAACTCAGCCTCCATCCTGACTCGCACCCTTGGCCACGAAGGCATTGTGCAGGTGATACAAGCACCAGTTGAGTCCATTTCATTCTTTTTAAGTGTCTGACGTCACGAATTTGATATATATATATATATATATATATATATATATATATATATATATATATATAAATGAAACAAATATATATATATGTAGTAACATATAAATACAGTAACAGTAACATATGATATATATTTACTATCATTATGATATAGCATTAATAGCACATGACTTGACGGCCAGATAACTTATATATATAATTTATATATATATATACAATTATATATATATATATATATATTGTAGTATATATAACAAGTAATATGCATAAACACATTATTGAGAGGTTATCAATATAATTAATGTGCCATCCTAAACCCGATAATAAAATACACACTTTAGAAAGAATAAATTTCAAGTAACATTTAAACAAAATTATGTGACGAATATGTTAAAGTCAAAGTAACACAGAAAAGTATTTGCTTCATCAAAATAAGTTTATCAGAAGAAAAATCAACACGTAGAGGGCGGCACAAAGAAAAATAATAACGTATCGTGATAATGGATAGTGTTATGATTGGAGGTCCTGGTGGGAGGACGTGCTTTTATAATCAAACATTTGCAAACATCAACAAAGAATAGCTGTTCATTCCGTAGACATACCATTTGTGGAACAGAATGCATCACCTGATCTGATATACTGTGGAAAGTCTTCAATAAACGGAATGCAAGTCACGAGATTTATTTAGAGTTTATAATGGCTGCGATCGATAAGGAAGGTAAGTTTGTAAGATGATCTCTATAAATTCCATAATGCGAAACTGCTGATTTATTTATGACGATGGTATGTTGGTTGTGGACGTCGATAACTTTCTGTTTATGTGTCGAAATGTCAGGAAAGTGACAGAATTTTACTTCCTTTGATATGTCACTTGTGTGATCATTCTTTATTGGTCAATTTTCCGAAATGACACAGCTCAGTCGGCGTTATTACCATGGAGGTACAGTATTTATACCAGTACTCTGTATAGGTTAGCTATTACGTAAGTAATGCACCAGGTTGAGAAACATTTTGAACAGGTGCTGCAAGTGAGAAAGTCGTGTGTGTGGGCAACGTCACCTCGATGAAAATAGGCAAAATGTTAAACTTCTTTTTTCTATTTGTAGGCCTATTCATTTATTTGTTAATTGGTTTCATTAATCCATTTCATTCATTCATTCATTTCATTGTTTCATTCTTCTTTTCATTGCATTTAATTGTTTCCTATTAAATCTATAGGTACATTCATTTCAATATATAAACGAATACCATGTATGGACTTTCACAACACTTTATTGAAGAAAACTAATATTTCGACTTATCACCTTGATAAAGACCTAAGATATCTGAAAACATTGGTTTTCTCCAATAAAGTGTTTTTAAATTCCATATAGACTGATTTCTATTAATATTTAGAACTCGCTACCAGATACCTATCCCCCACATACAATGCCGTAGCCAGCTATTGGGATAGTTGGGAACTGTCCCACACAATTGGGTCCAGTGGCGGCGCCAGCAGGGGGCAGGGGGGCCCCCACCAGACAGGTCAAGCCCCCCCCCCCGCTGGACAGAGCTCGTCGGGCAGTCACACCATAAAACATATAAAAATAGGCCCACACCAAGCCAACACTTGTCTGTCACAGTCTAGGAGTGCCATTTTTTTCGGCCATCCAGAGGTTGATATTCTTTAAAAAAATCTCATTTAGGAGGGGGAACCTCCTCTCAACCCCTTCCTCCAGCTCGAGCCTACGAGTTCAAGTCCCCCTGTCAGACAACTTAGCCCCCCCCCCAGAAAATATATCCAGCCGCCACTGATTGGGTCCACAAAGAATGGGTCCAGATTTCTCATATTTCAGGCCCGTACACAGGAAGGGGGGTGCGACGGGTGCGTACCTCAGCCCCGACAATAACCATGGTGGGGCTGAGGTGTTATGGACCCTCAATCTGTGAAAGTCCTTCCCTTGGCCTCCCCCCCACATCAAATTCCTAGATCTGCCACTGACAGTGGGGATTCAAGCCCAGTCGTTTCGTTCCCCCCCCCCCTCAATTTTTCGAAGTTTAAAAAATTAGGGGAAAAAATTATATTCAAATTGAATGAGAGTGCAATTTCCGGCCATTTGAAGGTGCTATAATCATAAATTTTCTTTTTGAGGTGGTATTTCCTCCATCGTTGAAAGTCCTCCCGGCCCCTCTTCAAATTCCTAGATCCGCCACTGAAAACCGTACATGCATCTTCAGAAAATCGATTAAATAAGACCTCAAATTATCAAAAATGCCAGCAGGGTTTTACCTCCTAGACGGCCCCCCCCTCCCCCGGAGCCATTTTGGTCCACTCTTTAGAAATTCACACCCATCCAATAAAAATCCTAACCTAACACAGGGGCGGATCCAGCCATGTGCAAACTGAGTAAAGTCTCGGGAAAGAGCTCTGGTAGGATTTCAATTCCCCATCGCTGCCCTTCCTTGAGTTTCAGCTAGAGGGCTGAAATACAAGATACAATAGCGCACCGTCTTTCGGATGAGACGTTTAAGCTGTTGGTCCCATGTGCACTATGGCCCATGTGCATGTTAAAGAACGCAGTACACTCTTCGGAAAAAAGTAGGGGATTGTCTCCCGGTGTACTGCCCAATCACCACCAGAAGGACCCCACTGGAAATAAGTCTACTTTAGACTTTCATGGGTTATCCTTGGTGTTTACACCGAATAAATCCAATCCAATTAAAGTTTGTATTTGATTTTTAATATTTAGCATATAAATTTTCTGATAAGCTTTGCAAAAATTACTTGTTACAAAAAAATAGGGGTGGCGTACACCCCTTACGCCCCCTCTAAATCCGCCACTGCTAACAGGCCTGAATTTTGCGTAAAATGGGTCAACTTTTTAAAAAAAATAAAAATGGGTCCACATTATTTGAATTTACGTGTAGAGTGAATCCACCTTGATATTGTCCCGTACTATTTGAACGTGGCTACTACATTGTCAACATATAAACTTGCAATATATAGTTTATCCTATCATAAATAATTATTTCTATCTTTATTCATTAGTTGTAACCCAACTTATATTTATTTATTTACTTTTTATATTTAGCTTCACACAGGAAAATAGTGGACATCCCAGTCTTGTTTTGGGACCCTTGTTTTAAATAGCGTCAAATATTAAAATCCATCAAGTCATACTTTTATTTTTCTTGTTTATCTTTTTCAAACTTATCTGGAATAATCCATTAATACCAATAGGTAAGCACTAGTTTTTATGTCAAAGATATAGGGTATACAGTAATATCAGAATGTATATTGTTAAGTACAGTACAGTATCTCAAACCTATCAACATTTATTATCTGACCCATTTATATCTGTCTTTATATAGACTTCCAACAGGACTTTGTACTTTATACATTTTATCAGAAATTAATAATTCATTTTGTGCAATTTCTGCATATCCCATACCAGCAAATTGTTAACCTGTTTATGACCCGGAGTCTCTGCTACCAGGAAGACTGCTACCAAAGCAGCTATTATTATGCAGATACAAACATAAACTATTGTATTATTGTTAAGGAAGGTATTTCAGCATGAAAATCATTTCCGTTGTGTAGTACTTCCTGAGATGTATTGTTAGGCCTACAAAAAAACGTGACATTTTGTGTGTGTAGTTTGTCATCGAGGAAGAATACAGTTTGTAGTGAAGATACATTTGGTTGTTATGATACCTCAAACCAATTTCTAGCACATTGGAGTACTTGTCTCGCGTTACATTCCAAACAGCTTTATCCCAGTGCATAAACTAGTTCTAGTACATTGCTATCAAAGGTTTACACTATTAAATATTGATGGCGAATGATGATGATGAAATTACTTCTTCTTTACTGGTTACAGATCAGGAGATCACGCTGGAGGGAACATCACAGAATGACGCTAAGGAGAAAAAGCCGGAGAAAGTCAGTGAAAAAGAACTAAAGAAAAGAACGCAGTCTATTGTGGACCCAGCACACGTTGACATTGCATTTCCAATTAAACAGCTGAGATTTCGACGAGAAAATAAGTTAAAAGTGCTAATGGTACTGCTGTTTTTTGTGATTATTAGCGGAGTGGTTTGTATTTACATATTTTTTGAACCAGAGAATTTATATTTTGATATTGGAGAAACACGATTTGAATTACGTAGTCACAGGTTTGTGGTTCAATACACCAATCGGACTGTGCTTACAGGCAATTTAGGACAAAATATTCCAAAAGATGTCAAACCATTTTATTGTCGAAACTCAAAAACAGAAATTTGTCTACGATGGATGGATATTGGATCATTAACTATTCAACAGAACCTGATTGGTTCAACAGAAATTTATGAGGTGACCTGGGTGGCATGGAAACAGGGTCTTGAACTCACTGATTGTTATTCATTTGGTGATTATTCATGGTACGGGGGTGCTATACTACCAGACCAATCATGGCCAATTCAGTACTGGAATAAATCACAGTTCATCCCTTTCATAACAGCGGCAAGCAGCGGTAATTATGGTTATGGATCTCTTCAGGATCGCTATTGGTTGTCGTCAAGCGGCGTAGCAATCACCGTTAATAGAACTACTCCACTATTTGTTAATATTGTTAATAATTCACAAATTTGTTTCAAGTCAGTGTTTTCCAATCCATACACTCAGATGCCAAGTAACCCATTAGAACTGCAATACAGTATTATTGTTGATAAATCTATTTCATCTGTTCAAAAATTTGCTAAATCTACAATATTTCCACAGCCAAAAACAGTGCGGGAATCCTTGTTCGGTACTGTAATTTGGAGTTTGGAAGATTTGATACATGGAGATTGTCTAACACAAAATGATGTATTAAATTTTGCAGATGATATAGAGTCGCATGGGTACAATGCTAATATTTTAGAAATCCCAGAGGGATTTGCTTCTAAGTACGGAGATTTTAACTTTGACCCCCAAAGGTTTCCCAATCCATCTGAAATGTTCCAGGTTCTTCATGATAAAGGTTGGAAGATAATTTTAGTGATTGGGATTCTTGTAAACACAAATTCTGATGCATTTATAGAGGGTGTTTCAAATGAATTCTGGGTAAAAGAACCACAAGGATTGGTACCAGGTCTTGTGCAATGGGATTATGGGATTGGAGCATTACTTGATGTAACAAATGATAATGCTGTATTGTGGTTTGTCAACAGATTGAATAACTTTAGAACAAATTTCAATATTGATTACTTCTCGTTTAAATATGGTCAAGCTAGCTATCTCCCATTTGGATTCAAGACAAAGTTGCCGCTGACGAATCCTTCGGATTTCACGCAAATGTATGTGGAATCGATGCAGCAAGTTGACGGATCTTTAGCCACTACCTCGAGTTATCAGAATCAAGATTTGGATCTACATTTTCAACTTGAGCCAGCAAATTCTACATGGCTACCCACAAATGGATTAAAGAGTGTTATCCCATCTGTTCTTAATCTGGCTGTTCTTGGCTATCCATACTTTATCCCAAGTTCAATTGGTGGATCACAAAATGTGCAGAAAAATTGTAGCCAATCAGACTTGATGTTTGATAATAACACAGAGTTGTATATTCGATGGTTAGGATTGCAAGCATTTTTTCCTATAATGAAATTTTCTGTTCCACCCTGGAAATTAGATGATAATATAGATTCTATTGCCAAAAAATGGGTTAAATTTCATGAAGATGTTGTGAAAAACAAGTATATAGACCAAGTAGGATCTTCCGAGGAACCTTTAACCTTGATACAGCCTCTCTGGCTTACTGAAGACTTGAAAGGTATTGAATCTGATGTTATTGAAACAACATTTATGATTGGGAATTCCACTGTTGTTGCCCCTATCTTAAACGCAGGCGAAACAAGCAGAAAGGTTTACCTACCAAAAGGGACATGGACTTTTTCTTTAGGAAGTGGATTAATGCCTGGGGGAAAAATGATTACAATTAGAGATATAACTATTGATAGTATTGCCTATTTTGAACTCACAAGTGACAATAAAGATTAATCCAAATTTACTTTTCATATAAGATAAATATTTTTTATATTATTTGAAAGTTGAACACAAAAATTTATTTTGGAGTAGGAAAAAGCACAAACACACATGTGTATATAATAATTGATTATAATATTTGATTATTAAAACTTTTTCATTACAGTTCGCAGAACTGAATTGAGAAAAAATTAACAATAAAGTACATAGAACAGGAAATCATTCTAAATTCAAACTGCAATTGTGATTATTAATTATTTAATTATTACAATTGTTATTATATTCATTTATTACAATATAAGTATTACAATTGTTGTTGTATTCATTTATTACTATAAAAGTATAACAATTATTACAAATAAATACATACATATGTATATATATAATTTTTAGTCAGCTAAACATGCTGCAAAAGTGTATAATAGTAATAATAGTATAGCAAATGTACAAATATATAAGGAAACTAGAAATTGTATGAAAATATAAATATACAAATGTGTTGTTATATCAGTTACTACAAATATAATATGAAATGAAATATTACACATAGAAAGATTTGGTGGTGGTAAGCATACCAGTTTGCTTAGTGCAATTTTAATTTTTCTAGTTCTACTTGCTTTTTTCTTTTCATTTAAAAAACACAGAGCATACTTTGGAATGTTTTTAATTTGTACCAGAGAAGAATTATTTTTCTATGATGATACAAGCAATAATCATTTTAGCTATTTCTTTACACATGTCTAAAAGATTATTGTAGATTACTTTTACGGTACAAGTGTTATGGCAACTGATTGAGAATGAGTTTATGTGATCAAGTAAGATTATCAGAAATGAAATTTAGTTCCGGATTTCTGTTGTCGTTCAAATTAAATGCACATGTAAAAATGGTGAAGAAAAAAATGTCATCCAGAAATGTGAAAGTATTAATCTTGTATTAAGATTATTATATATATTGCTTTATAGTGTTGTGGGAAGGATATTAAAATGCGGTAATGAATTGATAAGCTGCCAACAATGCTATGAATAGAAAAACTATCCCAGAATGCATCTTGTTTACTTATTGGACAGTTAAAGTTTTCAATCCAAATGGCAAAGGGCTGACCTTTCACCATCTGTCAGTAGTAAAACTCTTATCAACAAAATGAAGGCAAATGTACAAAACTAGCTCTTGGTAAATACAATTTTTATGCAAAAATATGTGCAAATGTGAGGGGTGCATAATTATGAAAAAACATTTTAATTACATTAATTATGCATAATATAATGCAATTAATAGGTTATACAATGATATAGAAATATATTTTATAGAGGTGTTAATTTTTGTTTTACAGTGTCTGTTGTCTTACATAAGAAAATGTGTATATATAAATATATATAAAACTACAAAAGATTAATTGAAAAAGATAATTTCTTGAATCTATCAGTACCTACAGTATTTTCCCAGTTTTCCATTTCTTCAGCAATAAAATTAATTAGTGCACAATTGATAAAAAGAAGGAATCTCTTATAGTTAAGTAATAAATCATTTTGTAGTTTCAACTGTGCATGCCTATGTCAAAGGTAATGGCAAATGAAGCATATCACAAGAATGTATGCAATCGTGAAGGTTAAATGGTAAAATATTCTGTTTATGAGTGTATGTGTTGTGTACAATTTTTCTTGTTTCCTTATTTCCTTCAGCAAGTACACTCGCCACTTAAGGAATGATAAGTCTCCTATTGAGGCCTAGGGACTGGTGGTGTTTTAAGTTGTGAGAAACTATAACAGGAATTGAACCCAGGACCCTGGGATAAGAAGGCAAGCATCTTAACCACTATGCTACTCAACTCCTCTCAAGTTACGCACATTACTGTGTTGGCCAAATGTCATTCTGCCTAGACTGCCATCGATAATCCACAGACAGCTTATCATGTCCTTAATTACTTGCAGACATGGAGCGTTTTTTTTAGCTAGCCGATGCAGTGCGAGTCTGGTTTAATAGGCTAGATATCATAACGTTCGACAATCGCAGCTGAATGTACAAAAGAGTTTAAATAAACCTGTAATATAAATTAAGATATTTTTGATATTTTTTTAAGATAATTATATTTAATATGTTATAGTTGTATGGAACTTTTTGATGTGCTGTTTTTGTCTGATATACTATACAGTAAAAGAATTAAACATTATTTGAAGATTTTTTGGTGTTTTTATCTTGAAGTATGCTACACACTATTGTTATTTCCTGTCATTCAAGGATTTGTTCAAAATATTGCATCATTGTAATACATACAGGAAATAAATTGTAAAATTAATATTAAAAAATGAATTATTAGAAATATTATATATATAAATAGATAATTTAACAATGCACTCTTAATTATTAAAAATTCAATTTGTAGAAGCTGACTACACAAAATCAAGCTACTACTATCACTTTAAATATTTGTTTTATCACCACTGCTACCATTTGTGCTGATGTCGTTGTGCTGCTGCATTTTATTCTTGGTATCTTTGTTCCAAACATACATAAAATACAAAAATCTAACAAAAATACATTTAGTACATACTTTTTCACAAGTTAACCTAAATAAAAACCTTCGCAAATTTAAAAATAGAATAAGTTTAGCCAAAGAAAACATGCACCATACATCAAGGATTTTTTTAAATACTGTAAATTATTTTCCAACAATTCAACCTGGCTGTGCCTATTAAGACTCTTGTTTGCTTGCGTAAGTGCAGGGGGTTCTTCCTGCCAATTTCCAGGAGACTCCATTTTGGGACTGCAGGAGACTTGGAACTCCTGGGCACTAAATGTGGTCTTTAGATTTCTCTTTTAGAGTGAAATTAAACAATACTACATTAAATGTTTTGAAATAGTACAGTTACTGCATGCTGTTATTTTTTCTTAATAATACATTTCATGGTAGCCAGACATCAACTTGTCTTTTCATTAAAATATTGCTAACATTACCACTAAAATTAACGTTATTCAATATACACAAAACACTGTAAACAAACCGTGCATTGGCTTGGTGTAAGTCATATATAACACGATTTATTATAGAAAAAATTGGATTAACATTACTAATTATTTTACAGTGGTTTTTAATTTTCTGCGAAAACAATGGTCTTTGGTCTCTAGATAGAAGGGAATCTTTAATTGGAGAAAACAGCTAATGGTAAAAGATAGGCAGCCAACTGGGGCTGCAGAAATGTGGTCTTTAATTGGAGAGAGACTTTATTTATTTTTGTTACAATTGACATCGATTGCTATTTTCACAAAATTTGTTACTTTGATAAATTTATACCTGCATCACAATTTTATGATCGCATTGCAACCCATTTGAAAAATGGAAGAACATAACGCCATTTTATTGCTACGCATAAAATGAGGTGTTTTTTTAGAACAGTTTTGGCGCAAAATGCATTCTGATTTACAACGGAACGAAAATGCGAGCAGTAGGAATTTGAAATATTGCACCTACAGCAAGTGCGCAATATTGGTGATTGATGCTGGTTTTAAATTTGCTTTTATAATAGCTGTATTTATTTATAAAGAAAATCAGAACAGCTATTACGGTTATAACTTTATGGGAGTATTGGGAATATTGATGTGGATTTTGAGCTATTTACATAGTGTAAACTGATCAACATGAACAAAATCTGAAAAGAAACTAACATTACTTAATATATCAAAAGAAAGTGGGATATTTATTGTTTCATCAAGAAAAGATGAGCATTTAACGTCATTGATAATGTTTTCTATTTGTAGCATATTTACATAATCCAGTGTTAAGATTAAAACACAGCATCACTAGAATACTAAAGGCATTAATGAATAAATAAAGCAAATGCAGTGGGGTTTGCAGACTGAAGTAACAAGGACATTGAGGTTTCTATGTAGTTCTTCGAGCAACTGTATATCTTTTTGTTATTACTATTAGCTTCTGTTTAAATTCATTTGCTCAATATTTTTATTTTAAGATTTTTTGGGGATTCGAACTGTAGCCTACCTTTACAGGCTTTCACATCTTAGTGTATTTTGCAGCATTTGGTGATACCAAGTGTGGATACATTGTGGTATTGTGATATAATGACCGGGCAGCAGGCGCCCTCCATAACATTTGAGTTGCATTCAACTACCTATACCCAATGCCGTAGACAAGATTTTAAACAGTGTGGGACAATATCAGGGTGGACCCACTTTACGCGTAAATTCAAATAATGTGGACCCAGTTTCTCAAAAATTTGTCCCATTTTACGCAAAAATATGAATAAGCTAGACCCATTTTCTTAAACATTTACCCATTTTACGCAAAATATGAGAAATCTGGGCCCATTTTCTTAAAATTTGACCCATTTTACACAAAATATGAGAAATCTGGACCCAATTTTAAAATGTGGACCCATTCTATGTGGACCCAATAGAAAAATTGTCCCAATAGCTGGCTACAGCATTGCCTATACCCACAGCATTTTTTACTGAATAAAGCCTCATCTACTGAGAGCAAAAGTGTTTGAAATATATATCACAACACTTTTTTTTTGTTTTATTTACCAAGAAAAACATGACAATTTTGATTGAATTTGCTTGTATACTTGATAAAATACCGATATTTATTATGAAAAACCTAAACCTATTGCAAACCTGACATAAAATACTAATTCATATTAGTAACCACACTACATGCAATTGTCAGCTTACAAAAACTAAATGAAGACAAATAATAAATCTGCAATAAACATTATTATGCCATACTCATTATATAAAATATACCAAAGTAGCTATAAATCTTCTTTCAATGTTTAATGCAAAGTGTAAAAATAGAAACCATTTTATTAGATATATTAAGAATGTTTAATTATTACCAAGGCTATGACGATAATTTTTCCTCTGTTGCGTTGACTCATTTAATTATGTATACGTGTAACGTCACTACCTCATTTAATCTATAGTAGTTGACGGAAAATATATGACAATTTTGATGTTAACTTGAACTTAACAGTTGTTCAAAAAATAGATCAGCTGTAACATGGGGTTAGGGTTCAAAATTATATGGACTTTAAAATCCAATGAACATAATAATTAAATATTAAGTTGTATTTAGTTTTAGGGATAAATTATGCTCACAGCGATGCAACAAATATATTGTAGACATTCCATTGCACTCAACTATATTCAGTACCACCATGTTTGTATTGTACTCAGTTTGACCAAAAATAATCTAATGTGGACTGCTTTGTCTAAGTCAAAGTTTATCCAATACAAAACACAGCTTCAGCTATCCCTTCATTGTCTAGAGTTCTATCCCTCCAGCATGCTCAATATGGCCTGTCATGGTCTACCATGATAACACTTCTCAAAGAAACATACACAATACACTTTCTTTGTTTCTGATAGCTATAAATTTCCATTCCTTGCCAATCTTCCAGAAAAATTCCCTTAATCTTCCATCTGCAGGCAAGTTTATTCCTACCCGTCCACACAGGTCAAAAGTCACACATCCTTCTCCCTCCAAAGTCTATGATGCAAAAGCAGCAAAATTGATTTGCAAGAATTTTATTATCAGCCGATATTAGAACTCCAGTGGATGATATGATGATTACTCTTCATTGGCTTAAACTAAATGATCGATGACAAACCAGATTTTACTTAGTGTTTAAATGGTAATGTCCCTGAATATCTGTCTTCAAAATTCACCTTCACCCACTCTGTTCATTCCTACCCTACTAGGAATCAAATATCAAATACTCTGGTTGTTCCACATGCAAATTTAAACTGTGGTGAGCGTACATTTCATAACAGAGCAGCTCGTCTTTGGAACAATTTTTCTCACAACATTCGTAACAATTTTGATTCTCTTTCTATTAAAAGAGGCCTTTATCTGTATTTAGTAAGACTACCTTTTTTATTTTGGTTTGGTAGTTTTTATTTGTCTTTCTTTTCTGTTTTAGGCTATCTTCTTGTTTTTGTTTTTGATTTTCTTTTAGTTACTTTTGAATTTAATGATTGTAAACTTTTTTTTATTTATATATATTTTCTGTATGTA